CCCCAAAACCCCAAAACCCCAAAACCCCAAAACCCCAAAACCCCGAGAGGACAGAATTTAAGTGAAGGATGTTTAATAAAAATTAATAATGAATCTTTTACTTTTCCTAGTAATTATTACGATGTTTTGCAGCGGAAACGCTCTTCATATGGATACTATGGCCACGAATCAGGCGGATTCTTCGTATTTTGTTAATGGAGCACCCGAGGACTGTCAAATTTCTGCAAGCAACCAAGTTGTTGGAGTTTACTGTGCTGAGCAAAAGTATTTGTTCTTTCATAAAAAGGATGAATTCTTCAATGGAGATTTATCAACTCAAAGTAAAAATCATGATTTCCAATTTTCATTTTCAGCTTGTTAATTTTCTTCATATCCAAACTGCTCTAAATAGCATCAACTCAAACAATCGTTATAGAGGTTGAGATTCTGAAGCCTGAATATGGTATTGCTAAAGTTCATAAAGGAAGCGGAGACTTTTTTGTCACTTCAACTTTTAGTGACGATTCAAACTGGGCTGTAACACAAGTCGTTGATGGAGAAATAAAAACTGTCCATTGGAGAGCTTATGGCCTCACTCCTTTAAACTTTGCATTTGATGATTTGCTCTTTGTAGATTACGGAATTTTTGTTGGAGATGGAAAATATTATTGGGGTGTTGGCTATCTTGATATGGATAGCATCAGTGTAAACTTCAGAGAGACCACTGAAGTGAAAGGACTTGATATCAAATTCAAAGAGGATGGTTTTTTTGGAATCCTTTGGAGCACTCATTATATCGAGAGCACAGGATCTTACCAGCTTTATAGAAGAGATATAAACCCACTCTTCCATATTTTCAACAATGTGACGTACACCTCGATCGGTGATAACTGAGGAACAGTTGTGGAATCTAGCACAGATATAGTGGCTGTAGCTTGACCTAGTTCAACAGATCCCACCTCCTCATTCATCACTATTCTGAAAGTAGATGGCCTTACAGTTATTCATACTCAAACATCTACTTCCAATACCTTCTCAATTGGAGGATCCTTACAAATTTTAAGTTTTATGAATCATGTAAGTTTCTTTATTCATTTTTAGCACCAAGTGTTTTATCGTTCCTTGAAGACATCAACAGGGTATCTAAGTCAGATAAGTATGATAGAGGTTTTCCAAGACAAACAGAACTCTTCTGACTTCAAGACTCACCTTATTGAGGAAGCCTTTTCAGATGATACTTACAAATATTTTGGAAAGCATTTTAGTATTTCCTCTTCTGGAGCCACCAACAAAATTTATATATCGAGCGCTCTCAGTGGTTCAACCAACAGCGTTGCCCATGAATTCGAAGTTGCCAGCATCTGCAGCCACCAACAAGTCTACGCCAGCTCAACCAAACTCTGCCTTCCTGTTAACTCTGGATCTGTGGCGCTCGGCCTTCAGGCTTCCTCTCCTACCACCTGTGCATCCATTGACGACTCAGTTGATTATAACAGATTCATTGGAGAGTCCATCTGCGACTTCGGGTGTTCATCTGGTCAGTTCGGTAAGAACTGTCAGAGCTGCTCAGCTTACATGGCTAGGGTCGGGCAGGTAGCTCCATCAGGATACAGCTGGGACGACACAGCAACTAATCAATGCAAACTCAAAAGCAGCACGACTGGGTTGGCATATTGCACAGAGTTCACGAGGTGTTCGGAGTGCATCTCATCAGGACAGTGTGAGTACTCAAACTATCAATGCAAGTCGACGACTCAAAGTTTGGAGGCATCGCCTGGAAGCATCTACGATAAATGATATTCTGAAGGAACAAAAGAACATCCGATCAAGTTCTGTGGTCAATCTGTCATTGATATGAGAACTTTTAACTCTTCTTATAATGTAATGCCCACTAACTCTAAGATGCCAAGAGGTATCCTTTGAAGATATAAGCTAACTCTCAATGAGTCTATTAGCGATTCCTTCACTATTGAAGCCGACTCCTCTGTCACCATCAAAATGCAGATGGTGAAGAATGGAATTCCTTCAGATGTAAATCCGACTTCAAGAAGGAATCTAGGTCAAGATGGAAGAAACTTAGCATTAGCATCTTCCACCTTTTCTGTTAGTGACGCAGATTCTGTGAACGTTCTGTTCATGACAAACAGTGATCTAGATGGTCCTACTATATCAATGGCTTCCTCTAAGAACTATTATGACAGCGGTGTGAGTACTCCTTCCCCATCTCCAATAGTTGATAATGGTCCATCTGCTGTTGGAAGAACTGACGCAAAATCTTCAAATAGCAAGAAGAAGATAGGAATTATCCTTGGAGTCTGCCTCTCAGTATTTGTAATAGCTGTGATCTTAGGGGTGAGCTTGGTATGCTTCCTTAGAATCCGCAAGAGAAAGAAGAGCTCTGAGACCACAGTCGAAGGATCAGAACAAGTTGAAGTCAGCAGGACTTCAAGTGAAATTCCTCCATTGGAGGTCAGGAAAAAATTGGATATGTGAAAAGAAGAACAGTATGCGTGAAAAGTAGATGCCTTCAGTATAGGAAATTGCATTGTATGTCTAAAAGATTTTCAGGATGAAGCTAAAGTGAGAGTAATCCCTAAGTGTAATCATATGTTCCACTCTGATTGCCTAAAGCAAGTGCTGCTCTCATCATACAAAGGCGATAAAGTCTACAAATGTCCTCTTTGTAACAACAGAATTTAGACGAACTCTTCTATAATATTTTCCCGGTAAGGGGTTTTGGGGTTTTGGGGTTTTGGGGTTTTGGGGTTTTGGGG